GTCGGGGTTGGAGATGGTAACAAGTTTCACCCCGGTTGATTTGCAATTGTTAGAATCACACAATCGTCACGCGGAATTATTGTACGAATTGCTAAATTTGAAAGAATTCTTGTATGAATTCTTGTATTTAAAAGAATTATTGTATGAATTCTTGTACGATATTTGACTTGCACTTTAATTTGGGCAGCTGTTAAAAAATCACGAGGCAAAGGGTTGAAGACAAAGCAAGGGGAATTTGAAAAGATGTATACCTAATATGTTGTGGCTATTTTGTTTTTTTGCATTAATTAAAAAGAAAATACAATGCAATAGTATCGAAAAATTTTGCGACAAAATGATATTATTTTTTTATCTTTTAATACGACGTGTAAAACTGTTAGAAAGTAAAATTCATGATTCCAAGAGTATAACTCATTCCGTGAGAGTAACGTATAATTTTCTGTATCAATAACAGGAATAAAACAGACTCTTATTCATCACACATAATACCAGCATCGAGACGTATAAAATTATCATTGGTTACGTTACACCTTTCCATAATTCTCGATGCTTCTGTTTTAATAATCAACTTTCCACGATACTTCAATATTTCTCGGTAATATCGTAAACACGGAAGATCTTTATTCAAAGGGACACAAAGATAAAAATGAAATTGCAAAATTTTCCAAATACTTCGTGTAAAGTTACAACAAAATTGCGAAACAGCAAAAAACTTGATTTTTCAGAAGAGAACAAAACCATTTTGTCTACAACTATATTTACACTTTACCACATTACAATACGTCGATTCCAGTTACCAAAAAATTACAGTTCCGCAACGTTACCACCAGAGCTACCGATATTATGCAACAATTTCAAAGTAAACAAACCAACGAGCACGTGTTCTTCGTCGGATAGATAAGATCAAACTCGCAAAAAGAAAAACGACGCATAATAAATCCAGCTACGATTATCAAATAAAACGATCGCGACGAGATGTACAACTATCGATCGAGGGAATCTGCCGCAGGAGCAATTAACGCGTGTACACAGGACGAAACGGAAAGGCCACCCCTTTCGGTGGAGACGTCGCAACGCACGTGACCGGTAATAGAGCACGCGTAATGAGATTGTATCGCTCTCGAAACCCTTGTCCAACATCGGCCCCTTTATGTAATTACGAATTTACACCGGCGCAACGGTCGTGCACAAATGATTTCGTTTCAAGGTGGACTTGTCGACATCAAAGAGTCATCGACGTCGCATCCCAAACGGAAAGAGAAAGAAAGAGAGTGAGGGAGAGAACACGAAAAAGATATGCGAATCAGCGATACAGGGTGGGTAAAAAATATCGATAAAAATTTTCAACACACACGTTCCGTGTGTTCAAACAAGAGGAAAAGAGGTTTTACATTTATAGCCATTTTTGACGAATTATCGCGAACTCGTTGGTAGGAAAATATTTCTCTAGTTTTGTCGCACACACAGGTTGGACCACGCCCTGCGTATTAAAGAGACTCGCGAATATCCAGGGATCGATTAACATCGTTGCACCATTCATGGTTAGATCGGTGTGCGTAATACGAGACCTGAAATTTATGTACCGTTTATACAGATAGCTTTAAAACTTGCGGTAACCCACACTCTAGAGAAACCGGAATCCCTTGCGTAAACGACATTAGCGTTAACCCATTTTATGCGTTTTTTTTTCTCTTCCCTCTCTCTCTCTTTGACATACGTTTACGAAGCTGTCCCTATCGAACGACTCTATTGGAAAGAAGAACGAGAAACCGCAATCGGAACGGGCATATAAAATTCGATATTAATAATAATGATATTTATGTCACGGGATGTGCTAGGTGTACGTGAACGAAATAAAGAGAATCGAATAGTGCGACGATATTTAGATAATTCAACACGTTTAATATAACGATACAATCTTAACTCTTTGACCTACAACAACGTGTCAAACTCGTGGCAGAGATTCTGGTCAAGACGTGAGAAAAATAGTTACATTAGTGAGAAAAATTCATTGTAATCCTAACTTTCGTTTGAATTTGTAAGATCAAGGATTCCTAAATGTAATTAATCTGTAACAGATAAGCACTAAAACATTAAATGGCTGACGCTTACAAGCACAGTCAGAAAAGAAATCATAGGTTAAGGGGTTAAGTTGCATTTTTACCGGGTCGCGGTAAATTTTGTATTATTGAAAATTGCACGCTTTTTGAAACGTAACTAAATTACAAAATTTTTGAGAGCAAAAATATATACAGGGTGGGCCACGTGAAACTGGCCACCTAATTATCTTCTTCAGCTATGGTATCAAAATTTTTCTATAAATTCCATTCGTTCTGTTTCTTTGAGAGCAAAAATATATACAGGGTGGGCCACGTGAAACTGGCCACCTAATTATCTTCTTCAGCTATGGATCAAAATTTTTCTATAAATTCCATTCGTTCTGTTTCTTTTTTTTTTCAAGATCACCTACGTTCTTTTACACGAATACATATACGCTTTTCTACTGTATGTTGTAGCAGATACCGATGTGCATTTGAACATGCATGATAACCTAACCTCAAAACGACTAACCTTAAAGTTCCAAATTTTCAATCAAACGTGAGACTTCCTTTCATTTTTCGCCATTTCTTCCATCAGAAAAATGTTTCCTTGAGAAGACCTGCTTATGAGGTGACCTGTTTCACGTGACCCACCCAGTATATACGAAAAGTCCCGAAATTATGAAAATGAAGAAAGTTCGAAAGTCTCGTTTCAAAAAAAAAATATCGCAAGACAAACGTGTTCTTCTCTCTAGACCCAGTATATACGAAAAGTCCCGAAATTATGAAAATGAAGAAAGTTCGAAAGTCTCGTTTCAAAAGAAAAAATATCGCAAGACAAACGTGTTCTTCTCTCTAAATCAGCGCAGAGAAGATGGACGGAAAATTTTTGCGCCCCGAAAACGACGATATCGATAGGATTTGGAGGAAACGATCGTCGACAAAGGCGGCCGCGGCAGGTTTTATTGAGCGCGCGCAACATTCGCGCTGGCATTCTGCAGCGTACGCGCGCGCATGTAATAACAATGCGTGGATGTATGAATATTGCAAACGGTGAAAGCGTACCACATACCAGACTCGTTACAACCGTCCCGTGGTAAGCTCGCAGACGTAGCTATGCTTGGCCGTGCCATACGTCGGCCAAAGAATGTCCCGGGAACGTGATCAGAGTGGCGCGATACACGTCGCTACGTCCAGAGAGCTCGACAACAACTCGCGTTGCTCTTGAATTGTCTTTCGTCTCAAACGTACCCTTTGTCATGGACAAAAATGGTGATGTACGGGGATAATTGTACCGTTTGGGTGGCAATGCCTCAAGAGGGGATGATTCTGACAGAATGAAAAATGAGTAATTTTTGAGAATTTTTTTTGGCTAAACTGGGAAAGAAATCGCGATAATTCTTCTTTCTCTAGAAAGGAGCATCCTTGGACTATGATAAAAATATTTTTTTCAACGTAACTGTTAACGTTGATTTTGTAAATTTTGTACTTGAAGTTAGCATTACTGGTGATGTCTCGAGAGGGGATTTTGATAGCCCGAGAAATAAGCGATCTTTAACAATTTTTTTTTAGCAAACTAGAGAAGATATCGCGATAATTCTTGTTTCTATAGAAAGGAGCATCCTTGGACTATGATAAAAATATTTTTTTCAACGTAACTGTTAACGTTGATTTTGTAAATTTTGTACTTGAAGTTAGCATTACTGGTGATGTCTCGAGAGGGGATAGCCCGAGAAATAGGCAATCTTTAACAATTTTTTTTTAGCAAATTAGAGAAGATATCGTGATACTTCTTTTTTCTGTAGAAAGGAGCATTCTTAGACGGTAGCAGAAAATTTTTGTTAAACGTATATTTTAATACTGCCGTTGTATATTTTATGCTGTAAGTTACCACTGTTGGCAAAGTACTCTTAGTCGGTTGAAGTGGTTTACAAG